GACACCTATTCGGTATTGGTGGTCGAGTTTATGTGGAATTACCCATAATTAAGAAAACGTCTTACATCATCCTTTTGACAACGTAAAAATTATATAATGAAAGCATGAATTTCGTATTTTTCTAACTTTGCCGAAATAGGTGGACCGTTACGTGAACAGGTTGAATGCCTTTTTCATAATCAATGCTTATTCATTTTTTCTGTTTCATAATACCTCGTGTACCTAATGAAGCACAGCTTGCTGACCCAACGCGAACAACTCTTATATCAAAAATTCAATATTGCAAACATTCTACTATTGTTTATTATGCAGGAACATTTCATTTGATATTTGTCGAATTCAATGAACATCGTTATCTTGCTTTTCTTCAACATAAGTCTACGCCAGCGACGAATGCATCAATAAAAATTATTCGTGAACATCACTGTGCATCAATTAAAGAATTATTCGATGATAATGTTCAAGCCGTACCACGATGGCATCGAGCCAAATATTATCATGTTCCATGTCAAAAACATCCAAATCTTGTCTGTTTCTATGATAATGATTATTTCATGTGCCTATGTGACATTAATAGACATGAAAATTGTTTCAAATTCGACTATAAACCTGTTTACAATTATTTAGGATCGAGTCACTGTGAAAATGATGATCAATACTATCTAAATAACGAAACTGGTCCAACATCATCATCATGTTTTTGCAAAGAATGTTATTTTGGTAGTCGATGCCAATTTACAACGAAATGAGGGTGTGGGGTGTGGGGGTGGGGGTGGGAGTGTGAGTGTATGAGTGGGTATAGGTGTGGGTGCGGATGTTCTTTTCTGCCGGATCCACACCCACACCCACACTCACACCCATCCACGCCCACGCCCACATCCGTACCCACACTCACACCCACCCACACCCACATCCACACCCACCCCCACTTACACCCACACCCATCCACACACCCACAACCATATCTACACCCTCCACATTCAATTTGAACAGAAAAAAGACTTCATGAAAACATTCTTAGATTTTCAACAATTTGCTCTAAACAGATTTCAAGAATAATTAATAAAAGAAGCTTTGATATACAAAGTAAATATTAATCTTTTCTTTTTTGTTTACAACACAACATTATCATAATCCTTCGAATTTTGTAATTGCAAAAATACTCAAAACTATATGTCATAAACATGGATATCGAATTATTTGATGAATATATGTCAATAATATCGATTAATCTTATTTATC